AGGACCGGCTGCTTGGGTTCCTCCTCGGGCTCGAATGAGGTGGCTTCGTGCACAGGCACTTTGATTTTTGTTTGTGCCTCTTTCGTAAGGTTGAGAAATACTTTTTTAATCTCCTCAATATTAATTTTAACCTTTTCGTGTTGTTGTGGCTGTTCTATGTGCTGTTTATTGTCATTCATTCGATCTTCTGATTTGTAATTTCCTCCGTCGTATTTTTGATCTTCCTTTTGGCGACTAATGTTTTTTTTTATACGTTGAGCTTCTCCGTTCACTGATTCTAACGAAGTTGTCTTTTTCTCGCTCGTTTCACTTAATGTAGTCGGATTTTTTCTTATAATGTTCTCTATTTTCGTCTGGTAGGCTGTTGCAGAACGGATGGACCTTGGTGTACGACTAGATTCTTTATTTGGCGTCGACTCTTCTTTTTGTTGGTGAATTGGCGGAACTTCAGAAACCGTTGATCTTTTCGCAGAGAATGGTTTTGGTGCAAAGGCCTGGTAATATTTTGATTCACGAGTAGGTATGCTTAATCGAAACCTTTCATAAGTTGATTGCGTGATTTTTTCATCTATACAACACTTGTCTCCCTTTGAGGGGAGATCCACGTTTTCGAAGCAAGGGGCCCGATGTTTTGTCCCCAATAGAGGAAGCTTTTTTAGTCTGCTATCGAGCCATCGGAGATTTTGGAGAGAATTTTTTTCTTGTTTTGCTTTCTTCCACACATCTGTCTCACACATGGGGTGTGTTGAAGAGACTCCTCCTTTCTCCCTGTCACCTAGAGAGGATGCGCGATTACACATCGTTTCATCTCGACGTAATAGCAAGGAAGCTAAAAAGGTAGAGCCCTGCCGTTCGTTTCGAGGTAAACTGGAAGCCTTAAAGTTGGGTGTTACCACCTTTTCCTTGCTGAAGAAATCTTCATCAGAATTTAAATCGTGAACCTTACCACCAGAGTGGGGGATGTTAGTCGGCCATGAAACACACGTCTCTCGCCCTTCGCTGTTGCTTTCTTTTCGTCGCAGTTGATTGAGAGGGGTAACGACTTGTGGTGTGCGAAAAGTGTTGCCAACTGAATGCCTTCGCTTCACTCCATCCTCGCGGTTGTGGTCTGTGAACTTGTTGAGAAGCTCAGACTGTACTTTATCCACAAACACACGAGGAATTTTGAGCGGTGTCAACTTCCTGGTTCCTTTGCTTAGGTCAGATTTATGAAGAGAGGGTGGTTCATTCGATAAATTATCCCCTTGATCAAACATAAAGCAACTTTGGTCGTGCTCATGGGATCCTTTACCCATCTCACGGCTTTCCTGCTTCTTCTGCATGTTTGCCGTGAGCTGGTACTTGTCTGATGGTAAAGCTTTTTTGGCTACGTAGATAGTTGTCGTATCGTTTGCCTTCCTGTTTTCTTCTGTCGTTTGGAAATTGGTTCGTCTAATTCCACTTGCGTCTGGAGTCTTGGAAGAATATCGCATAGGGCCTGAAAACGGCCTATCACACGAGGCGATAGGCGCATTTGAAAGCAAAGTTGGAATTTTGGGATAATGTAGATCCGATTCGTAGATGATTTTGGCGCCTGTGGCTTCACTTTCACGCCTTCGTGCATTATTTTTTTGAGCGCTAAACAGCGTAGCAGGTGCAGGATTCGGAAACAGACAAGGATAACCTGCACGGCTGGAATACTTTTCGTTATCGATCCCGATTCCATCCTCATCGTTTTTTTCGTACTTTTCAACGTCTCCACGACTCTGTCTTTTTACCAATATTGAAGATTTCGTTTTTTCCATTTTCGGCTGCACCCCAGTTCTGGGGGAGTTCGTTTTACATGAAACTTCGTTATGAACGGTTTCGCTGCATTGCGGGCACGGTTGTTTCATCAACCTATATCTATTACACACGTGATGTGAGCCCGTTTGAAGTTTATTAAGAAGATGAAATGCCTTAGCATAGTTCTTCTTGTCCACATCAAAATTATGGGCCTCGTTGATGCATTCATGAACCCTGGAAGTTGCACCCTCTTTCTTTTTGTAGTTCGTTTCGAGTGTGTCATACTTTCCCACGGCTATGCCATCCTTTGCTTCAAGCGTCGAGGCTGAACTGCTTTGCGCGAAATTGTCATGCCTTAGAGCACAGTAAGCTGGTACTGCGTCCAGACAGGCTGGGGACATCGCGTTCGAGAAGTTGGGAGGCTTGCTGGAGATCTTGGATGGGTCCTTCTCCTGGGTGAGAGACATCGTATTCATGGTCGGCGTACTACCCTCATTCGTGCTTATGATAGATGGGTATGTAATAGTAGAGGTGCCAACCTTGTCGATAAGCACCGTCGGAGAGATCAAATCCCTCTCCCCAGTCTCTTTTTTAGGATTCACGGAATTTGGATGATCCTCCAAAACAAGATTACTGCTGGTACCCATCCACATAGTGTTTACCGTTATTGCCTTACTCTTGCTGTTGTATTTGTCTGTTCTATAAACAAATTATCTTCTTCACGTCCTTAAAAAACTTCGAACAGTGAATATTACAAGCACTACAGAAGGATCTCATCACAGGAGAGAAAAATGAAACAGGTTCATTAAAGCACAAAAACCTTTAAGAACCAATAAGTACACCAATAGTAGTAAAAGAATTCATGAGAGTTTGCTTGCATAAGCGTCCATAACGATTGGATGAATTCATTTACACAACGCGCAGACAGCACAAGAGAGAAGAGAGACTCACATTACAATAAGTTCTGACCTCTTAATTTAAAGTCTGTACATGATTTCTTTCCCCATCCCCACGCTAGATCGCAAGAGTAAAAGCAAAAAAAAATCAACGTACATTGAAAGAAGGAATATATCTAACAATGGACAGGAGAGGTATGAATTCTCCCTTCCTCTCGATACATATATATATATATATATATGTATATATCGATAGATAGATTTCCTTGTTCACAGGGAATTGACTATATACATGATGCATTTTTCTGACCCATTCCAATCCATCGCCGGGAGAAAACGCATAGAGAGAGACGACAACGATGCCCATGGAAAAGGCCCTCACACTTTCAAACCCGAAAACCAAACACCTCAACTGCTCATCCTAAAGGCAACCTGCTAATTAGATTAACTCTCCTCTTCGACGGGGCTTCATTTCGAGGCGCTTTCCATCGAAGCCAGGCGTTTGATCTCCGTGATGATTTGCTGATTCGACTTCTTCACGTACTCGATATCGACCTCGTGCGCGTGCCGGGCGGAGTCCATCTGCTCCTGGAAACGCTTCACCATGCCATCGTACTTCGCCTGCAGCTCGTTCACCCGATTCTCCACCCGCCGCACCTCGCCCTCGAGGGCCTTCTTCTCGACGTAGAGGTGGCTTTGCAGGTCGCGCTCGGTGGCCTTTCGCACCGCGTACTGGCAGGCGCTTTCGTAGAGCACTTTGTACATCTCCGTTGAGTGCGCCATCCGCTCACACAGCTCGTTTAACAGCAGCCCGCGCTCCGGGCAGAGCACCGTGATCTGCCGCGTGAGCTCCCGCATCGCGTCGTCGAAGATGCGCTCGCGGAGCTGGCAGAGGGTTCCGCGGGGCCGCGCGGCGCCCTCCCGGACGCGGCGTTGGAGGTGCTCAAACAGCAGCAGCACGTCCAGCCGCGCGACGTGGTCGGTCGCCGCGACGCGGAGCAGCGGG